TCTTTGGTATCTCTACAAGTAATAGATATGAACCTAACGCGAACCATGAAGCAGGTTGCTTCATCCAATTTTGTTCAATTCTGGGACTGTTCCGTTCTCATTAAATAATTTGTTTGTTCATTATAAGATTCACTGCTGAAGAAAATAATTCCTGGTGCTGCGCCCATTGATAGTTATCCAGTTTTGCAGATTAGAAATGATACAAACAGGTGCCTAAGCTTTCTAACCATTAAAATAGAACTCCTTTAGCTGTAAGCCACTGAAGCAATTAAAGAAGAAGAAGAAAGCCATGGCCAATATCTACAATTTCGTGCGAAGGAGATCATATCCAAGTCAGATCTTTTATCACCTCATGATGTCTTGATTTTCTTGTGATGCATGGACTTCATGATTTATTTACTAATTAAATATAGCATTTTATTATACATGGCACCTACAGCTTAGGTTGTGAGTAGTTACCAAACCCAATTTTTGTTTTTCAAATATCTGACTTGTACCTCTTGGTTTTTGTGGGTATGTGGACCCTCTCGTTTCAACCCATTTCTAAGCTCCATTTCTTAGGAGTACTAAATGGAGAATGACTCTTGTCAGCACAAATTTATGTTGCCTTAGTTCACAAATCTAAGATTGCTACGTGTCCAAAATCATGCTGGAGAATTGAATTGGCTTGCAAGGCACCACATGTCACAGATTAATTTCATTATGTATTGATTCATCAAAAATATAGAGGATTAAGAACTGTACACAAATACGTAGCCCATAAATGGACCAACTAGGATATTTTATGTGATGAAGGCAACAAAGACCACGTATTACAAGTTGCTGAATCTATACAAAAACACAGGAGGCAGCAACCTGCGAGACAATATTGAGCTATACTAAAAGTGAGTGAAAGTTAGGTGGAAAGACGTAGAGTAATATGCAGCAATGATGTATAAGCTAATTAAAAGAGTGACATTGCTTGCAAGGTTGGGGCTGTCGGCTTTAGAATCTCAGTATCAGTTACTGTAGCAGTTGTGACTTCATTATCACCTCCGCGACCCTCGCCCAAACAGTAAAATTCTTTGAGTAGAGAGTCAATAAACTACCTCTCTTTTTTCTGCAGGGCAATCTCAAGAATATATTAAAATGAATAATGATACCAAGATATTATATTCAAAGCTTTGTTTCAATTTAGGGGAAAGCAACAGGATTAATTGTTCGGGAGTACAGGAATAAGAAAATCATGAGCACACATCATTCTGTCACTCGTGCGACTGGATTATACCCATTATACTTTATTAGTATGGTAGGAAACAGAAAGAGTACCAAGAATAAAACAAACAAAGGCTTGTCACTGTCTCTTTTTGGAGGAAGAGGTTCGACGGTTAAGAAGTCGGTCCAGATGTACCTAAACATAATACCAAGTTTCAAGGGGGAGGTCAGAATTCAGCAACTGTAAGAAAAATGGGAAACGAAAATCACTGCTAAAAACCAGATTACAAGTATAGTCAAAGATTATACACAATACAGAATAGGTGTCCTGTCGTAGGCCACGCCAATCTGAAAGAAGATTTTCAAAGGTGTAATATATCGAACCATTCAGCAAGCAACAGCGGTATTATGCTGATTAATTGATGAGTCTTTAATATATTTGATGTCACATGTACTCAATAGCCATCAACTTGGGACATATTAGAGTTGTGAAAATTTGACTGTTTAATCATAAGAAGAATTTAGTCTTATTAATGATGAGTACCAGGAGGAATAAGGCTGCTTCACAGTGGCTCATGATATATTAATTAAAAGCAAAGTCCGGGGTGGATTCAAGCTAACATTCTGATAATCAAAGACCAATTATTAGTAATGCTAATATATTGTGAACCGTGATTAAAATACAATAAAACCAATAAACACATCAAATAGAGAATGCACTTGCGCAATTAATGAGTAATGTAGTCGTCACTTGGACAAACATTACGCAATAACCTCATGGAGTGATTGTAATGGAAGAATTTGAGAAGACTAATAAAGCCAAAAGTTGAACTTTTAAGTGCTCTTGGCTTTTAGAATGTTAGTGCAACCTTGTGTTGTCCTGTGCACGTTTGAAGATGGTCGTTCATTAACAAATTGAAAGAGCAGAGCATTCGATTAGGGTCGGGACTGCAAAGTCCAAAATTTCAACAGCGTAATCAGTGGTGTGACGAACAAATCATTGATGACACAACAAACATGTACATCAAGTATAGCCCAGTTGGAAAAATAACAAATTGGTAAAGAAATGAGAGCTCGAACTCTATTATTCACGGTTCATATTTTGTTATACTTAAGCTGACCGAGTCCCATATAAAACCAGATAGACAGAATTTATTTTGTTTGTAAACATATTCAATCCCTCGGGTTGACGAGAGCTGCATTGCATTTAATGTGGCAGACTTAAGTTGAATCGGATGGAGTTCCTTCACATTGCCAAACACCCATCGCTGAATTTTCAACATCCCAATTTCTTGGTCCAGAGAAGATGTGAACGAAAAGTGACGACATTATCGGGCTCGAGAAAATAAAGAGAGAGGGACGGCTTACCTAGAGATTACAGTAGACTACGAGACAAAGATAAACTGGTGGTTCATGTAAAATTCCATTCTACGCAAGCATCGGATGCCATTAATGTGCAACGCCCAACAGTTGATGAATCATTTTCCCCCGTGAAAGGAAAGCTTTGAGTTTATACATGAAAATCAGCACGGAAAGGTACAGCTCGGACCTCTAAAAAGTCTAAAGGCAAACCACTTGCGTTTTTTGGAAAATTATTGACTGCTAATTTCCCTTCAAAATAAATCTTTTAATAGTTAATCTTGCAAGAGATTCTCCAAATCTGAGATCAGAAGACCTTCACGGCAACGGAACCGAAACGGACCAGTGAATCACCGCCTCTTTATAGGTTTTCGTTCTGTTATTTGCTTTTTCTTTCAACAGGTGAATATCTATCCACAATGCGTCACAGGACCACAGGCCTTAAAGTAATTCAGTTTTTTCTTTAGTTGAGACTGCAAGTCTGAAAAACAGGATAAATATAGCACATAAAAAATAAGAAAAAAATTAATCATTTGTTCCTTTTTTTCGAGCCAATAATCAGTTGTCCTTAACACCTTAAAATTCACCCTCTATAATTTTTTTATATTTAAAATGTTAATTTCTATATGTTAAAAAGCATAATTATAAGAGTTAAAGTTATTTCTTAAAATTACTCACTAAGATTATAAGAAAATTTTTATGATACTAGATCATATGAAGATAATATTAAAGTTTGGATCAAATCTAGCCCTAAATATAGCTCTTTTTTTTATATTAAAAAAAATTTAAGTGGGTTGAATCCTGAGACCTTATTAGGACCATGACATACTTTCAGGTTTAAAGAACACTTACAGAGACACTCATAAATTATTTACTAATAAAATTTCCATATCAATCACGAGATTTGAATTCATAATGAGTTATGAGCTGATTTCTCACCTTTACTGCTCCATGCCGGTCAGCTTTTAAATATAGTTCATCGAATGTTAGAAAGAATACGTGACAGGCTTTTTCACCAAAGAAAAACCTCAAGGCCCAGCCTAATTATGAAGAGGCCAGGAATGTGGGGCCCGATACGTTTGGGTTAAATATTTATATTTTGCCCCTTGCCCAATTAGTAGTTTACTTGGGCCAAAAAAGAAGGTATTATTTTCGGGAAAAAAGAACAAGATATTTAATTCTCCTTTCAATAGAAAAACATTTGTACTTAGCTAAAAAAAAACAAAGGACTGATAAGCTGAAGTTAAGGTGGTAATCTAAGTCATTTTGCAAGAATAAAAATATAAGTTCAAATCTCAAAAAACACACTTATTAAAAAGGCTTTGCCCTTAAACGCTTCCGACTCGATAGAGATCAGTTTTAAATCTAAAATTCAGGTAAGAAGGTGAAAACCGTAGAGGACAAGAATATTGCAAACGGCTACCAATTAATACCAAACAATAAAAAAAAAATTTAACTGGAGATTACTGTTCTTTCATGTATAGGAATTTTTTTTACTATGTGGAAGGAATTATTTTCGTAGGAAAATGATGAGGTACATGTTCAAACACAGCAAATTAAAACAAAAGCAACACGAATACAAAATTATCATGGTAGACGTATAACAAAGACAGTTGAGATAGATAGAAAGCATGTACCATTGTTGAAGACGTTATCTCAAAAGATATAGAGTAACGATAGAACTAAACGAATCTAATCCTCCGTTACTGGTGTTTCCCTCTCTTCAACAGTCATCTCAAAGTACTCCTCCGGTCTTAATTATAAGACCCAATTGATTTATTTGAAGAGATTAAGGAAGTAAGTTAAGTTGGTTATTTGTAATAAATAAGTGTTGTCATTCCTAAAATATCCTTGCTAATTAAGTATATTGGCTAAAACTATCATTATTAGAAGGATTATCTTGGAAAAAAATACATAAATATAAGAGACAAAATGAATTTGGGTCTTATAATTAGGACCAAATAGTCAAATGGGGTCTTATAATAAGGACCGGAGGAGTATATCCGTTTTACTTGAACAATTGGCAGCCCACGGTAAAGCATCATCTTAAGGGAAAATGACTAAATTATAGACTATTGTCTTCTCCAAAGTCTTGGTTCAAAACATAGACTTGGCCCTTCACATGATCAAATATTGAGGTTCCTATATATATAGCAATCCCATTATAAAAGAACGTGTTAGAACATAATCATACTTAGTCTCTTGTAATATGTTAAGGAGAATATTTTTTTATTCTTTTCAGATTCTCTTTTATCCCTCAGGGCCACGTAGCCTTATTCATAACAAACTTATTTGTCCTTTTCTGTATACTGTTCATTATTTAATGAGAACCAGGGCACTATCATTCTGTGCCCGTATTGATACACCTTTTTACGTTTTGTGCTTTGCTTTTCTTTCTGAACATTCAAGTTTTGAGATGAACTTTCATGATTACTTTGAACTGGAATCAATGTGCTTTTAATGAATGTATTTATTGTGATCCCTGCCCGTGATCAGTTGACCAAGTAGCATAAATTGGCATTTAATAAATTTCAAGCTTAAGTATTCTGAATCCAACAGGGCAAAACATAAGGCGAAGAAAAGCCAGTACGTGGTAATAGAATAGGGACTATTAAAGCAGCCGTTTTCAGAAATGGAAAATGCTCCTTTCCTAAATTCTAGTTAACGAAACAGCATAGCAGAACAAAACAGGAGAACCAAAGAGAGCCCAATAGTGCTTGGCACTCTGCCTGCATCTCCACCATCAGCTCCGGGCGTTGCTGAAAGGCCAAAATGGAAAAAAAAAAAAAAGGGTTATTATATGAGTCGATAATAAAATTGCCACTCATAGATATTGGTGCATGATGTGAGTTTGTGATATGGATCGATATTTATCATCTGCATTTCGATTTCTCAACCAATTGTTACTGCTTTTTCTTAACTTGCTTCCACAGTTCCTAAGAGTCATCTCATCTATACGAGCAAATCCGTGTCCACTATATATCACTGACTTTACTATAAAACTAAACAGCCTCTTGAGTTTCAAAAAGAGCTGCCAAAATCTCAACGTCTCCAGCTGGAATGAAGTGGTCATTTCACTTTTTTGACTTTGATTATTTTCCAGACGCGTAAAACTCGCCATGCATTTGGCAGTTGTTGAAGAACAAACCCTCATGATCAAGCAGGATAATTACATCCTCAGCTCCCCCCCCCCCACCTTGTCAGCTGAAGGACGTCTAAAATAAACCTTAACGTACAAATTAAGCCCCTCCGTTTGGACTACTTAGAAAGAAGGTTTTGGAAAAGTAGAGTGACGGGATAAGAGTTATCCATACCTTGGGACAATGTCGCTTGAGTAGGAGGAGGAGCAGAAGAAGCTGGAAGTTGGTTTCCCAAGAAACCCAAAACGAAATAAAGATGCAGTTAGTTGTTAACTGATACAAACCAGAAGTGACATGAGGATGTTCATATGGGCGATAATGAGATAATGAGAAAATGAGAGAGGAATAAGAAATGAAGGAGGAGAAGTATATATGTACCTTGACAGGAAGCGAAAGAAACGGTGAGACCGCAACGGCGAACGAGACGAACACTAATAGTGCGGTTGAGACCATAGGTTTGAAGGAAATCAGTGTTGGCATATAGGTAGCAGAGGCAAGAAAGATCATTAATGACCATCTCTTGGAGAGGGTTGCAGCATTTGAGGGGAGGATTTGCAGAGTCCAGGAAGTCTAAGCATGGAACCAAGCTCTGAGCACATCCTGCGTCAATCTCTGCCTCTCCCACCGCCATCATCATCACCATCACCGTCGCCGCCGTAGCCATCACCGTTGATCCCTTATTCCATCCTCCTCCGCCACCCATGTTCTTCTTCTCGATCTCTCGCTTTGATCCTTCCCTCTTTGATTTCATTCACGCCTTCTCCTGATCAGTTTCATTGTATTTATATACCTCCCTCGTTGCCTTCCACCAACCAAACATGCACGCCTCTCTATGGACAGTGCCTTCTTAATAATTGGCAACTTGGTTTCAACCGACCCATGTATGCCGCGGCTACTGCCGTTGTCAACGTTTCTTGCATAATACTCGCCAACTCGTTAAATTTAAATAATTGGTCTTCCATCAATTTTGAAATGTTATTCTCGTATATTATATTAAGTAGAATACGAAAGCATTTTGTTCGGTGGAATCAACAACATGGCATCTTGTTTAAAAAAACACATTGAGTTGACTAACACATTAATTAGTGTTCGGTGACGCTTTAACAACATTGAATCCGCGCACGCAAACTTTTTTCTCAATTGAATTATATTCAATTGGGTAACGGTGATCATCCAAATCTTATATTTCAAGTACACTAAACACCCTAATTTTATTTTTTGCACATCCAACACATCAATACTACCCCGGTCTTTAATTAATATAAAAGATAATTGATTGATTTAAGTAGATTAAAAAAATTTGTTAAGTTGGTTATTTGTAATCAATGAGTATTGTCTTTTCTAAAATACCCTTGTTAATCATATATATTGGCTAGAATTGACATTTAATGAAATATTTAACATACATAACTACTACAAAAACTACTTTAAAAAAATGAATAAATATAAAAGACAAAGTAAATTAAAGTATTATATTTAAGACCAAATTAAAAATCAAATTAATTTATATATTAAGGACCGAATGTAGTATTATTTTTTTAGTTATATCTAGTACTCTACTAGATAAAATAAAAATAATACTAGAGCGTTGGATGCACATAAAAATAAGATCTTGTTGCTAGATGCACTAAAGATAAGTTCAAGGTGTTTGATGGACATTTATCCTGTATTCTTTGTTATCTTAGGTCGTGAATAAAATTTTCAATGAGATATTTGATGGCATTTGAAATATTTCTGGGAAATTAAATGACAATAAGGAGAATTCCTAAAATTTGCCTGGGCCCTAATTTTCCATACGAGGATGACCATTATCTCATGTAATTAATAGCTTCAAGGCTTGCTTGCTGAGTTGTTTGCAATGGTGACCGATCCAAGTTCTATTTCCTTTTCTCTCATTCCTCGTGAGGGAAATGATGCTGCCGATTTCCTAACTGCTATAGCTTCAAAGGAGTTGGGACCTAACGGCCTGATCTTAGCATCTCCACCTCTTCTAGCTCATATCATCATTCGTGAAGCCACTATTGATGAAGAATTCAGTTTTGACCAGCTTGTTGCAGAGGCCGAAAGGGAGGGGATGGGTTGGTTCGCTTTTGTCCTGTTAGCCCTGTCATTTGGTTTTCTTTCCTTTTAATTTTCCTGTTTGAACTATTACTTCAGTCTCGTTTCAGTTAACGAAATATGCCTTACTGGTTTTTTAAAAAAAAATGATTGCATACCTGCAGTTTCCGAATTCCGAGTTGTGTGTGTATTGGCCTTCATGTTTGTGAGTTGGAAACTTGAAAGCTGACGTTATCCTGTTCACCAGCAAAACGACAATCCCATTAAGACGGGAATATAGCTTGTTTTGCATAATAATGAAACGCGGAATATACCTATCACTATGTATATTTAAATGCGCGCATTATCTTACTATTCATGCACTTCCTATTGCCTTTATTTATATATATATATATATATATATAGGCACACACACAAACCTGCATTTGGAATTAAACTTGGAGCATATATCGCACCAAAAAAGTTAATTACAAAATTCGCAGCACAATAATCGTCCCGTTGATTTGCAAATTTGTGAGCAATTCTGTGTAATAATAATAATAATAAAAAAGACATCCCTTATATGACTATCTGGTTAAGTTTGCTTTGATATTGGCAGGCCCAATTCCTATCGGTACTTAAGGGACCAAGGTCATTTTCATCATGACCAATGCCTATTGGTAGCAACTAGAAATTCTGCACCTTGTAGAGAATGAATTTTTAAAAATAAATTTGAAGCTATTCTTGATCATTAATATATATTATAAATATACATAAACATAGATTTATAATCTTCTTAAGGTATTCAAAATCTTGGTTTGATTTGGTTAGAGTAAAAACTAAACCAAACCAACTGGTTGAGGGGAAAAAAAGGGCACTAATTGGCTTTTTGGAACAAAATTAGTTTAGTTCCATTTCCTGAAATTCGAACTGTTTTATTAATAATAATGAAATTTTTATTATTTACACTTATGATGTACTTAATTTATCACATATTTAATAAATTATTTTTTTACAAGTTTAGTATTCTATATTATTTGTGTGCTAATTGATCTCAAAGGGTTCTCAAGTCAAGAAACAAAGAATACAAGCCTATTGGGCTTTTCAAACCAAATCATTGTAAAGCTTGATTTTGGTGGCCCCTGCACATCTCAAAGGTCAAAGCCTTGGGCTAGGACGCCTGGTGCGTTTAAAAGGCCAGCCCAATAGGGCCGAGCAACGTGTTTTTGCCAACCGTGCAGATGCCCCCCAAAAAGAAAAAGAAAATAACAAAGGGGGAAAATGAATTTGGAAAGCCCCGTTCCGGGCTTCCCCCTCCAGGTCATCTTCACTTATTAGCGCCATCCTCAATTTCTAAAGGATAAAACCGCACTGCGTTCCAACTTCTGAAGCAAAATCTGCAAGGCTTTAGACTCGTGGGGGCGTGGGCTGTGGCGTCAATGGCTGCCTTTAGCATAGGTATCGTTCCAACAAGTGTTGCTGCTTCTTCTACTGCAAGGCTGAACTACGCTCATTCCAGAACCAGAATTTCTTGTATTGGATGGGTACGCACCTCTTCACATTTCTCTTCCCTTCCCTTCCCTCCCTCCTCCCACCCAATTCACCTCTGAATCCAAACTTCCTTCTTTACTTGTGCCAAGAAAGGACCCCGAAGGCGTGCTCGGACCACCCCAAACCGGACACCTTGCTAGACTTGAGTTCAAGAGACGGCTTGAGAGAGATGCAGAAGCGCGCGAAGCCTTCGAGCGTCAAGTCCGCGAAGAGAAGGAACGCCGTCAAGCTCTTCGTCAAGTAATTCTATCCTTGCTTTCTCACTTTCTTGTCCTTTCTCCCTACTTCCATCTTTACTTATACGGTTCCCGCTTTGGTTTTGTAGTCTCGGGATGTTCCGGATACGCTCGAGGAGCTCGTTGAGTACTTTCTTGACACTGAAGCCCAGGACATCGAATTCGAGATTGCGAGAATGAGGCCTAGGTAGACCCTTGCCTCCAAACATCATACGATCACTACTTTTTCCAGCTTAAAAGTTGCAATTACATAGCCTTTATCTTGTGTTCTACTTTTTATCCCACCAAGCAACTGATTTTATTTGTTTAAATCCTGTGTGCCAGCATTTCTAGTATATTTACTCCATAATTGTTGCCAGAATCCTCTGAGAAAGCTTCTACAGGTCATCATTTTGGCATAGAATTTTTCCGTTAATTAACTCAACAAGAAATTTCATATTTTCTGATCGTAGGCCATAATTCCGGTGGACCGCAGAATTTCGGGAATTCTGTCCTGTTCTGTTCTTTTTCAGTTTCGGGTGAATCGAGAATTCTGTCTTCGATTTCACCAGAGTCTACGCAATTGGCTTGGCTCTTCTGTCTGTTATGCATCCTCGCCTCTTAGGCTCTAACAATTTGCTTTTGCAGACTGAATGAGGAATTCTTTCAGCATCTGAAATTTGAGTTAGGACAACTCCGCTTCTCTGTTTCAAAAACCCAGGTTCCTTTACATAAACTTGTTATATGTGGTTCATATATGTTACGCTAGAATTTCATTGCATGAAAAGCATGGTTTCTATAGGACATGGAGGATAGACTGATTGAGCTGGAGGCTCTGCAGAAAGCCTTACAGGAAGGAACAGGTTTGTTAGACTCCTCTCAAGGGGGGAAAAAACCACATTTTAGGACTTAGCTCTTGCTCAGCTACTGTTAGCTCACTCCTTCATTCTTCTAATACAGAAGCCTATGATAAGATGCAGAGTGAACTTATTACGGCCAGGGCTAGCCTAACCAAAATCTTGTCATCAAAAGATGTGAAAGCAACTGTACGGCCTGATCACTCATTCTTTGAAGGGCTAATCCCCCTCCCCAACCAAAAAAAAAGAAAAGGAATTTCATGTGTAATTTAATCGAGTCGCTTATGATGAATGCAGTTGCTAGAAATGGTCGAGCGCAATGAAATCAATAGATCCTTGTTGGCTCTTCTTGATGAAAACATAGCAAATGCACACAAGAGTAACCAGGTAATAGCAGTTGGAAGTGTTTTTATTCTCCCCGTCTAATAGTATAATTCATGACAGTGGCATTCTAGTTCGGGCGGAATTATCCCATAATCACTCACTAATAGCACGGTACCATTCTTTACACCGTTTTCATGCCATATTATGGTACCTCCCTTCTTTGTACCTTATCATGCACATGCGTAATGTTACAAGTAAGTATTGATGACTCGACTGCTAGATCGTGAGCCCCTGCCTTCGTGTTGTTCTATTTCTTTTATTTTTAGCTATTACCAATTCTGTGACTAGTCCTGTGCATGTCTCTTACAAGTCACATTTTTCAACTTTCTGTGCTGGATCTGTACACCATACAAGGTCGCACTGCGCAAAGCTTTTGAATCAGTAGAAATCATTTACTGAAATGTGGTACCTGAGCCACTTGTTATGAGAGTGACATGTCTAACAGGTCATTATCAAGCAGAAGTCTGTCCATCATAAGTTCCAATAGGAAAATATTAATAATTAGCCTAAAGACCATTGAGAATGATTTGCAGAATATGATAATTCTGAGGACCCTTGCTTTGTTTTGCATTATGAAATGACATGTTTACATATTATCCGAGTTGCAGAAACAGGCTGCAGAATTCATGGAGAAGCTCCGGGGGGCTGTTGTCAAGTTCATTACAGTGTAGCTTAGTATGGTGTTATATTCGTTTTCTTCTTCACCATGATGATTTCTTTTTAACTTTTGAGGCAAATTAGGCAGCGATCTTGCCATGTAAATTTCACCGTAGCATGTCATAACGCGCAACCAAAAAGGTTGAAATTTGAAATGAAATTATTTCTTTGTGGGAGGACACGATATACACTCGATAAGTCGATGGAGATTGATTTTACAAATACTAAATATACTTCGCTGTTAAAGAATCTTTTTCCATTAAGCCTGTAAATACTTATAGATAGCACTGTGGGGTAAGAAATCTCAAATGTTATTGTCCAAATTGGAGCAAAAATGGGCTAGGTCAGTAATGCTTCGTCGAATGTCAAGGTTCATTTGAACAATCAATGCTTGTGCCAAGTTTCCCTCAATATCTGCGATTTCTTCTGGAAACCCTCAAAATAATATAAGCCTTGCACAGGATGTATGTCAAAATTCGGGAGACAGACATTAAAGGCAATGTACTTTCATTTTGATGTCTCCAGCCTACAGACCCCGCATATCTCAGGTATATCCTACGATTCTGGTTTTTTTTAGTTGTCATTTATGAGAAGAGATTTTAGTTCTTTTTATTTGTTACTTGTACAGTTTTTAATACTTCATTTCCAATTCTGTCCCTATTAATTAAGGGAGACGAATGTAAAAATGAAAAGAGGAGGAATGGGTAAAAAATATATATATTAGTTATTTAATAAGGGTAAAAGTAAAAGATTTTATAGATTTAATGATATTTTTAGTATATGAGAAACTAGTGACAATTTAAAAATACCAGAGTGGTACATTTTGAAGTTCCACTTCTGATTTCCTTGCTAGATTAGCCCAGGCTGCTGAAATTAATTTTTGTATTCATGGTTAACCTCTACTTCTGTGCCCAGAGACCGATAGTGACGGGGAACCTGATGTATTTTTCTGTTTTGAGTAATGTTATCCAGTTTTGAATTCCAAAAAAAAAAAAGTTCACTTCTCTAGTAGCAGGGCCATCAAAATGGAGCTTGGACAAACACACGAATTTAATTTTCTTTCTCGTGGAGGGGGATTGCCTAGACAAACACACTAGTCGAGGTGGAGCATTATTTTCTTATTTCACTTTTCACAAATTTTAATGGTATATTATAAAATAAAAGCTTGAATATATTTCATGCTTTCTACGCTTGGCCAAATCATGGAAGCTGGATATTCATCAAGCGTATGAGGAGAATACCGCCACGATCGTTTCCAGTGAGAATATGGATGGAGAAACATAGCTTTATGGTTTCCACGATAATGGAATAATGGAAAACTGGAGCCCAGGTTCTTTAAACGTAGGGCTTAAATTGACACCGCTGAAGCAAGAAGGGAAAACAGAGGGTCGGTTATACATTAAAGAAGGTGAACTCCGTAATTATATACTCCTCCGGTCCTTAATATAAGACCCATTTAACTAATTTGATTAGATTAAGGAAGTTAGGTAAGTTAGTTAATTATAAGAAATGTGATATGTTTTTCCTAAAACACCATAATCATCTTTCTTAATACCACATCTCCCTCTTCTACTTGATTATGGTTGAGGGAATATCTATGGGGATAATTTAGAGAAACTTGATAAATATAATAAATGGGTCTTATATTTAGGACCAAAATAAACTCAACAATGGGGTCTTATATTAAGGACCGGAGGAGTATTTTAATTTTGATAAAATATAATTTTCAGTATATTAATGTTATGGTCAACCTGAGTTAAAGTCATTTTTCATCAAAGATCAATCCTTCAAATTGTGGTTAATTTTGATTAGTCTTTATTACAATTACCAAATGGCAAAATCATAATCACATCAGTAACACGTCATCTCTAACATTCTAAGTCAAACTTGACTACTAGTATAATTTCGAAGATTGACGCTTTAGTTAAAATAACTCCGAGATTATGGACTCTGAGCATTAAAAGTACTAACTGGAATATGGAATCTGAGCAGGGTAAGATTCCCAAAGCACAAAGCCCTATTGTCTATAGATATTAACTACGCATCAGCGCTTTATTTTCAAAGTTTGGGTTATATGGATAAGATGCATTTGGAACAAGGCAAACTCAAGTTGCCCTCGAAACAGACATTTCTTTCCTTTTTGTTGTTTTCCAGAAGTAAAACTTGACTTTAATAGGCTAATAGACACAGGTCAGATTTTGTTGAAGAAGAAACAATAAAACCGAGTACAGAGAAAGATCTGGGCAGCGAAATTAAACGAGACACGTATGCCCACCTGTTGCTTGCTAGACTGCGAAGGACCCCACAATCTCACGCGTGTCAACCTCTAGTTATGCATGGCTTCTCCTACCATTTCTTCTTAAACCTTCCCTCCTCCCACCCCTCTTCCATGCCCCAGATCTCGCTTTCCACTAGATACTCTTCTCTGCACTGTACCTCGACTGCCTCTCATTCGTCTTCGCCCGGTTCAGCTGCCACCATGGCGGTTCATGGCTTCGCTTTCAGCATCAAATACGCCTTCTCCTGGACGTTGTTGATGCTGATTTTCCTAGGAGGGCGTGAAGCCGCGAGGTTAGAACGGTGGGAGTCGGTGATTCAATTGCCTACTGGGTTGGATGAACCGGTGGATGTTGACGGAGAAGTGGGCACTCGATGGGCGGTTCTGGTGGCGGGTTCATCTGGCTATGGAAATTACAGGCATCAAGTGAGTTTGCTTTTAAATTTTAACTATTGTCTCCCTTCCCTTAATTTATCCGTATGAAATAATCAATTTTAGGGGAAGGGAAGAGTTTAATGATTTGAAGATACGTATGTATGAAAGTACAGGCGGATGTGTGTCACGCGTACCAGTTGCTCAGGAAAGGAGGACTGAAAGAAGAAAACATAGTGGTGTTTATGTATGATGACATAGCCACGAACGAGTTGAATCCCAGGCCTGGAGTCATCATCAACAATCCAAACGGACCAGATGTATATGCCGGCGTCCCTAAGGTATTCTTTTCTTTAATTCCTTCCTTCCTACATTAAGTGGGCTCGAAGTCTGCAGCTTACTCATATCACCTCCATGGGACCAAGTGCTTTTTATCAGATTCCTTAAGCCTGCAGTGTGCAATATTATTTTCCAAACTGCTAAAATTCTGTATTATCTATTTTTTTCTGTGAAAGAAGTCAACTACTTGAAAGTTGAAAATTATAGCTCACTTTTACGTGGAAACTTGAATAAGTTGATATTATTGATCAGTAACAATCTAACAGAGGACGTTACACTGCGCTCCTCTCTTGCCTTTAATGTATTTGATGCAGAATATAGGGTTTTAATTATTCAGTGAGTGTAGCGGTAGGACTAAGAGTATGAGTCCATGAATGGCTAGTTCAAAAGCATATTCCTGTGGTTCCCGCGGATATAGAGTGGCCACTCGGAAGTTCGGTCAAAAGCTGAATAGATTAAAAATCAAAGAAAAAGATTAGATTATAGCAGATACCGTTATGCTACTTTATTGAATGAATGGATTTGATGAAATTGACATATTTATATAAATACTTGGTTGCAGGATTACACAGGAGAGAATGTGACGGCAGAGAATCTGTATGCAGTTATTCTTGGGGATAAGAGTAAAGTGAAGGGTGGAAGTGCGAAGGTGATCAACAGCCAACCCAATGACAGGATTTTCATCTATTACTCCGACCATGGAGGCCCTGGTGTTCTGGGTAAGCACAAAGCTTGTTGATTTCTCTCTATTCTGTCCAAACTGCAAGCATTTTTTTTCCCCCCTGCAGAAGCAACCAGAGATAGAGCTCATTAATTTTGTTTTCAATTACAGGGATGCCAAACTTGCCATACCTTTATGCTAAGGATTTCATTGAAGTTTTGAAGAAGAAACACGCATCCGGGGGCTACAAGGAGATGGTGAGAAATGATAGGATGTGAATTGCCTGTCTGAAAAGGTTGAAGCTGCTTAATGGTAAATATTAACTGAAGATGTTGCATTTGGGTTGTGCAGGTTATATACGTAGAAGCTTGTGAAAGTGGGAGCGTATTTGAGGGTATAATGCCCAAAGATCTGAATGTGTATGTAACAACCGCATCGAATGCAGAAGAAAGTAGCTTTGGAACATACTGTCCTGCGATGGAACCTCCTCCTCCTCCAGAATACATCACCTGCCTTGGTGATTTGTACAGCGTTGCTTGGATGGAGGACAGGTGTGCATCTCATTTTTTCCTTCCTTTCAAAGTTTCAGGGTCTTTGACATTGACATTCATCTTCTAAATGTGGAAACTAATCTCTGGCGATTGACTTCTCTGCAGTGAGACTCACAATCTGAAGAGAGAAACGATAGAGCAACAATATGAGACGGTAAGATGTAATCATACACACACTAGATTTATTGGAATTTGGGAGAAGAAGGAAAAAAAATGAAAATGGTGCGTGATTTGGTTGTGCAGGTGAAGAGGCGAACTTCCAATTCAAACACCTTGTCGCTTGGTTCTCACGTGATGGAGTATGGGGACACCAGCATCAAGCCTGAAAAGCTTTATATGTATCAAGGTTTTGATCCTGCCACCGTCAACTTTCCTCCTCACAATAGCAGGCTAGGAGCGCAAATGGAAGTCGTTAACCAGAGAGACGCAGAGATTTTCTTCATGTGGCAAATGGTCATCATCTGTCTCTTATGAAATTAAACAATCACTCCATGACCATTACATTGAATCAAATTTGATTTGGCATTTCAGTACAAGAGATCAGAAAATGAATCGGAGAACAAGGCAGAAATTCTGAAGCAGATCAAAGAGACGGTGAAGCACAGAAAACATCTAGATGGTAGCGTGGAATTGATTGGAACGTTTCTATTTGGACCGGCAAAAGGTTCCTCTATTTTAAACTCAGTCAGACCATCCGGATTCCCACTGGTCGATGATTGGGAGTGCCTAAAATCAATGGTAAACAGGACTTCTCTAGCTTTGCAATTATCTTATAAGAACGCATTAAATTGAAGTTGAACATGGGGTTGCAGGTGCGGGTGTTTGAAACTCACTGTGGGTCGCTGACTCAGTATGGCATGAAACACATGCGTTCGTTTGCCAATATCTGCAACAAGGGCATTTCTGAGGCCTCCATGGAGGAAGCTTGTATGGCGGCCTGCACTGGCTATGATACGGAACTCTGGCATCCATCCAACAGGGGTTTCAGTGCTTGATCTTTTTTGGGTTCTTCTTAATTGCAGCCCTCATACTGGTTTTTAGATTGTCATCTTTTATGATCATTTGTGTTGAGTAGCTAAATACCCTTATAGTCTTATAGATACCACTTGTACCCTCAAATGTTGAATTTTGGGCTTACACTATTGTCGTTGACCTTGGGGTGTGTGGTGTGTAGATGAGCCGCTACGTGGGAGATAGGGAATTAGTAGGAATGTTCATTTGGAAGAAGCTATAATATGTATCACGACAATTGATTTGGATAATACTATATGCGACAGAAAGTAATGTCGGATAACAGCGAGCTGGTCTAATTCTAAAGGAAAATAAAGATTGAAGATGAAGAGATTTTGGATTTCAAACATAATGTACGTGCTGTTATAACTAATTATTGGGCGAAATCCAAAGTATAATTGACGCCTCTCTAAGCTGTTTTTTTTTTGGGGGGGGGGGTGGTTCGATCTCATGGCGAGCCAAAACCAAGGATCAAGAACCTGATAGTGAAAGCAAATTAGCGGGGAACTGATGGTATCTTCAACTCTTATCACCCTTAAAATTATGGAAACGTAGCAACATTGAATTGACTGTTAACAATGGATAAGTTGGCGAACCATAAATAAGTTTCTATCTCGTGGGAAAAAATATCCTGTACATTTTTCAAAATGCCCACCCAATTCACTCCTCTCTCTCTCTCTCGTCTCGCCGATTGGTTCTCTCTGCAGTGTTCATTTACTTCCAAACCCAAAATTTGGGATGGCGAGTTCTGCCGTAGAGGCGAATAGTCTCTTACAACCTTTTTCAGTTTTTCCATCGCCTTGCTTTCTCCGATTTTTGCTCTTCTCTCCGTTCTTCCTACTTCTGTTTTTGCCCACGTTGGTAACTGCCACCACGACAGGTCGACAGCGGTGGCGGTGATGATTATCAAAAACCAAAAAAGTTCGGCGTTGATTTTTTTTCTGGTTACATGGTTCGGTGTTTGATTAAGGGGAAAAATTCTGTCACTGGGTCGTTCTTTGGGTCGGAACATGGTGTTGTATTCGACTATCTTTTAGGCCTTTAATAGTTTAATCGGGCCCGCCTGAATATTGCCGGGCCTTTAATCTTTCACCTATGAGGGCTCCCAGCCTGCAACTAATAGAGTAATAGACACGGAATTTTTTTGTATTTCTCCTTGTTTGCCCAGTAGCATTCTAACAGTGAAAAAATGAATTAAGGAAATTTGCCTTTCAAATCAAGATTAACGCCTCTCTATGATGCAACTTTTTCTTAATCCCGTCGCAATAAAGAATCATGTGCCCGAATGCAATTAAGAAATCGGTGCCTTGTTTCTATAAGTTAGTTTGCAGGTTAGTCAAGTGGAAATTTTCTTCAATCTTCTTGAGAAAGGCATCCTATGCAAATGAACTTGTTGCATTTGGAAAATATAAACTATTTTAAATGTTAGTCCTAATGTTTAGAAGCACGCCATTAGTCGAAGCAGACAACACATGCGCCTCCTTAACTAGTAAGTCAACACACTATGGTTTAGATTGATTTAATATGTGAGAAATTAATCTAAACAATGATGATAATTAAATCAAATCCTGTGGAGCCCATGATGTTTAGATCGGGTAAAAACTCAATTCTTGAATCTTAATACAAGCAGGGAGCCCAGGAGAGGGAGTGAAAAATAAACAAGTAGGAGAAAGTGGTTGTCACATGGTTGTAATTAGAATGTATAAATGGGAAGGGATAAAATGGAGGAAGAGGGTGATGATTCCAATTTCCACTGCCTCAAACTTTGTTTGTCTCATTACTTAATTCTCATATTATTGCTGCTATAATTGGCGGTATATATAATATTATCTTGAAGGGGACAAATAAACCAAAATGCTATGCTGTGTGTTTGCGGCCAGATATACGAGGCACGATGCAAAATGAAAAGAGAAAGGCACTGAGATGGTAATAATATCAGTCATCACGCATTTAGACAACAGATCATGCATGATGCCCATGTTTGCATGTGTTTCCGTGCTGCAACAGTTGACCTACGAATAGTCATTAATTACACACACACACACACACCATATACAGTCTTTTCACATTATTGTTGTGTATATTGGTTGTTATGATGATTAACCAGAGGTAGTGGATATAGGACTCATTATATATCGAATTTATTGCAACCACTTAATTATTACCTCCCAAAAGACTCCTATGTGTTACTGTTCAACAACATTTTTTCAACGCACCAAATTAAACTTGAAGGTTTCAGCATGGGGAGATGCGCAGGCTGACATTTTAGTAAACTAGCTAGCTAGGTATATATTGGTTTTGTTTCTCCCCGCTATAGAAAAAGGCTCTTGTTCATGTGGTATCATGGTATGGTACCGGCCAGTGGCCACAGTGATGAAGCTGGCGGGTGTTTACTTGTATTTGGTGATAACTATATAATGGTCACAATAAATAATAATGGCAGGCATTTGGGATATTAAAGGACTTATAATCATTATACTTTAGTTAGTTGATATCCTTTGTTAATGAATAGAGCGATGCATTTATTACATCCGAAAGAGCGGCGCCCGCTCCACAAGCCAGCTTTCAGCCATCCCTCGCGACTTTAGGATCACTGGAAGGATTAAGAATCATGAAGGTAAGAAAATGGAAGTCAGTTAGAACACATATAGGGTCTTGGGGGTTACATTTCTGCAGGTCCTTCTCCAGTGGGAAAAAAAGTGAGAAAAGACAGGAAAATGCACGTCTGGGTGCGCAGATCAAGACAATAGAGTGGAATGGAATATTAGAATTTGATCACGTGCGCCATATACACTAGAGTGCAAGATGTTCAGTTCTGTGATCATTCCTTGACATGACTGATATATATATACATTCATATCCAGTGCCCCTTCTTTTTATATACATGCACTTGAAGAGTCAGAAATTTTCTGTTCTCTTTGCCATCTTTCGATTATAGTTTTCTGAATTTTACCAACATATATACTGTTACGGTAGGGATCCGGGGGTGTGAAGATGTATAAGAGCTATAAATATATATACACACGCATATATACAGTAACGAGGAATTAAGAATGATTAGATGACAGTTGAAATAATATAATGTGAAGCATATAGAGTAAGCTATATATAGCGCAAATTGGCCTGGAGAGCTAGGGTCGCTTTGAATGTAAAGCTGAGGGGAAAGGTCATTCCTTCACTCCTTCTCTAGATTGTTTTGATTGCTTTTCGAACATAAAATAATGTACTTTTTAGGTCTACGTATGGCCTACTTGTACTCATTTTGCTGAGTCTTTACTTCATACCCTCAACATCCAACGTCCTTCACAAGTTGGCAATATACTTACCCAAAAAGACTGCGAGTCTCCCCTCCTCTAAGCACGATTAATTGTTATTATTCAGTTTTTTTTTTAAACTTAGAATTCAAATTTGGGAGGCACATCATTTGAGGTGGCAGCACATAATAATAGTATCGGTATTCCTAAAACTATAACATGATCTAGCAAGAAAAAACCGGAAAAAAGTGAAGCGCACACATATATTATTATTGCTCCCTATTGAAATACTCCTCCGGTCCTTAATATAGGACCCAATTCTTGAGTTGGTTTTGGTCCTAAATATAAGACTCATTTCTCATATTTATCAGTTTTCTCTAAATTACCCGTATGGATACTCCCTCAACCATAATCAAGTAGAAGATGGAAAGGGGGTATTAATAAAGATAATTATGATGTTTTAGGAAAAATGTGTTATTTTTTTTATAATTAACTAACTTACCTAACTTCCTTAATCTAATCAAATTAGTTAAATGGGTCTTATATTAAGGACCGGAGGAGTATTTGTGGAAAGTGTGGAATCCAGATCAAGAATATATGTAAGTGTCTATATCAGCAATCATTTAAGACCGAGCCCACTTTCGCTTCCTCCCATCATTCTCATTCATAGTGTTCACTAGTCAAGTGCAGCCAAACTATTTTCATACATGCAAAGTAATTATATGTAGGCAATTAATAAAGCTCATGTGTATATATATATATATATATATATACACGGCATAATGGACAGGTACCTGTGGGTGTCGCTGAATACCGGGTATCATAAAGTGTTGGCATTTGAGTTTAGTGACCAATGTTATTTTGAGGTTAAAGTGGGATCATCGGCTTTTGCTCAACTTTGTTTTGTTCTGGGGATGATGACGAGAGAAAAAAGGTTTAGTAGTAGAAATTATGGGGGTGGGGTCAGGGATGAGGGATGGATCACGTCTCAGACTTTAGCTTCACTACTTGTCCAAGTCCGACGTTTAGTTACAAACGGAAAGAGCGAAAAAGCGAGGCCTTTGTGGATGCGATACCCTTTTTTCCTTTTATTTTATCATTAAAAATGGAAAAAAGGACAACCCTGACCTGTAGGCGGATAACCGGATGAAGCGATCCGGAGGTGTGCCTTGACGTGCCGGCACCCACAACCACCAACCACTTTCTACCACGTGTCGCTCTCTTTATGGCTCGTCCAGTCCTACTCTTCTCTCTCTCTCCCCCCCACATGACATGACTTAACCTCCAAACGAAACAAAAGCATTGGGGCCCACTTCCGAAATGGTGAGGGGCTAATGATGTGGGGGCACCCACGCCTCGCCTGACCTCACCTCCCCTCCTTTGTCTCACACTCCCTCCCCCCGGAGTGGGTCCCACTCGCTCACCGGGTTTGGCCTTTGGGGCTTCGTCGCAGCGCCTCGATGGGTGGCGTGGCCCCACTTCCGGATCCACAATTAATTAAGATCAAAAAGTGCGTGGGAGGGCTTTTGCGGACCAGCCAATCAGAGGCCGCCTGGGGAAGAATCGCTGGATGGTTTTTTGGGGCATAATTATTATTTGATTTACAAAAACCTTAAATTGATAAGAGCTGATTGAGTAATTTATGATTTTATTCACACCCTTTCCGTCTTCCTTCTTTTTGCTTTGGGTACTGTCTCAGGAGTCAGGTGGGCTCCAATGCGTTTTCCACGTCCGCTTTCTCCAAGGAGCTCCAGCCTCTTGTCTGGTGCTAACCTAAAACGTAGAGACCACCGATGCAAGTGGTAAAAAAAAAAATTGAAATCAAATACTACTACTGATTTTGTGAAAGTTAAACTTAAACCTCTTTTTTTTAGGGAAAAAAATCAGAAAGTTGAAGCTCATTAAATTTTTTTTTTAAAAGAAAAATCACAATTCCAACGGGTCCTCTCGAAATTAGATTCATGGTCTTTGAACATAGTAATTTCCCTTAATCATTGTCCTTCCTTTACTTTAACCCCTGGCTTGTACATTATTGGTCAATGGCCATAGAGTCCCCCATTCAATTCTATTCATGTTTCTGAGCATCAGAGTTTATCCTTCACTGCTCCTTTTACTGTTGGCGTTGATTGATGCATGAACGATGATTCTCTGAATCTAAAAATTTTAGTTTATCTAGTTAATAAACGATTCTTAAATATTAATAAAGACATAATAATTTTTATCTATTTATTTGATTTACTAATTATACTTGTTAATGACAAAAAGTCAAATTATTAATGTTAGATTGCCTGGTTCAATTTATTAAACTTCCCTGAAAGTTAAATTAACTTCCTAGAAACTTCATAGTTGATTTCTTGTGTTATTTTTCTTAATTTCTTCGAAGATTAACTTTTACTAAATAATTTTTTAATATTAAAGACAAAAATATTCCTTTGATTGAACTTTAATTTATTTTATATTTTGAAGGGTGTTTTGGAAGTATATAGTAAACATTTACGTTTGTGTCCCGTAAAAGTTGAGGTTTTTAGTAAATCAACTCCACTCGGGGCGGAGGCGGACTCGGAAAAACAAAGGCGAAGGAGCGAATCGATTATCAACCCTCCTCCAAATTCAAATTTGTATCATTAATCTGTACTAATATATTTCTTTCTGTCTTTATTCTAAGAGTTAGTTTGAAATTAGATTTAATTTTGTCAATCCACTTCATATAATTCACTTAATTCATAAATGGATATATAATCTAATGTTACACAAGAATTAATTTATATATTTTAAAAAGATTATTTTATATTTATCATAATTAACCAATTTATTTAGTTTATTTAATATACTCAAATTGATTAAGTAGGTCTAATATTAACAACAGAAAGTAGTATAATATTTTATTTTCATTAGATGGAAGACAAGCGTGCAGCATATATTCATTAGCTTTTGGAAGTTGTTAATAGCAGGCCAGTAATAACGTGCCAAGAGACGCATATTTATATATATGGCTGCAGAATGGCCATTTTCGCCCACCCTCTTGGTTTTGGACTCCGTACTAGCATCGGAAGAGAAAGTAAAGAAAATGAACAAAGATTAAAGAAAAACAAAATCAACAAAAGATAACTAATTTAATGTGACCAGAAGTGACCTGTGTCGCAGAATCTGGGTTGTGTATTTGAAAAAACAGAACTTGGAGCGCTATATGTTAGGCGTGCGTAGAGGGGAGGGGTTATGATTAACTTTCTATATGGGACATCCGCCATTTATTACTTATAAACATGGTTTCTACAAATATACATAATGATGGGCGAATAGTACGTTTGTTAGTGTTGAAACATGAATATGTACAGATGTCATCAATCCCACAAGACAGCCCAGAACCAGAACTGTAAGAAAATTATGTGCAGAGTGAAGGGCGTGGTGACCAATGGGAATGTGTACTGTGATGTGAACAATGAGGAATGCAGATATGGGAGAAATTAAAGGTGCAACTTTTGGCGGGAGGAGGTATCATATGTTCCCACAATTCCAAAATCCCAATCCACAAGGACCACGCCCACTACTATAATATTATTCTCCATCGATTGCCTACCTATATCATCATCATATATATACATATATGCATTAAATAATACTTATCGACACTTAATATATGACCTAATTATAGGATTGTTCTTGATTTTAAATATAAGACCTATTTTTCATGTTTATTAATTTTTTTCAAATCGTTTATATTAATACTTCTTCAACAATAATTGAGTAGGAGAGAGAGAAATGATATTAAGAAAGATTATTAAGATATTTTAGGAAAAATATGTCATATTTATCATAATTAACTAATTAACTTTACTTTCTTAATTTAATCAAATTAGTTAAATAGGTCTTATATTAAGGAGTTGAGGTATTATAGTAAATGTTAATTTGGTGTTAATTAACTTGTTTAATTAAAGCAACGCCTCCATTCTTCCCTTGCTCAAAGTTTGATCTTCCAATTCTTTCTCTGTTACTCGGACCATTCCTCAAACACCAAATAAACTATATTTTAATGTCTGCATCAGTTGGTGCCTTGGTGGTGGGTGGTGCTCCAAATTGACGTCTCTCTCTTTCTCTATCTCTCTCTGGAGCCGTTTCAGCGCCACCATTTTATGAAGTGAAAACTTTTGCAGCAATCTAGCTCCAACTCAGAAAGATAAGGAGAGAGAAATTATTGAAAGCGATGGTTTACTAGGGTTCCTGTGCTTTTTCTTCTTATTTAATCCTATCTCTTCCCGGTTCCCATTCCTGATCACCTTCGCGTAAGCCTTCCTTCCCCTCACTTTCCTCCCTTTTCTCTTTCAGTGATTCTCGGGATCTAACTTCTCTCCTTCCTTCCTAGTCCGAGTCTGCTAATCAATTTGGACATCTATATATACTGATACCAGACACAATTCCTGATCAGAGCAGATTGATTAAAACAGTTTGGGTGAGGAGGGATTCATCGGTTCAGCTCCCGAGGACCACTTTTAATATTGTTGATTTCCATTTCTGGTTTGCTCTTCCTGCCTTTATTTCCTTAGTCTTCTCTTTTCTCAGTCTAGTTTAATTGAATTGGATCGATGAAGTTGTAAAGGTCATCCATGGAGGCAGCTTTAAAATCTTCCCTGCAAACGAGGTTGGTTTGATCAGATCTGCAAATAAGTTCTACCTGGAGTTCTTGCTTTCTCGGGAGAGCCATCCCCCCACAATACATATCAAGGTATTTTCTCATCCGTGTGCTTTTCAATTATTCATCTGCAGTTTCCTTTTCCCGTCGTCTTTGCTTTTAACATGTGAATGTTTCTAATTTAGCATGATCTATGTTTGATTTCGAGTCCACCAACATTGTCCCGACAACAAACGACAACTAATTAAAGGACCGAAAGAAGCCAAATAGTCAAGTATACAAATGTCGCATAAGATATGTCTTTGATCTATATTTTAATTGGGAGTTAATATCTCATCAAAGCCAACTCCTAAATCATTCTTTCACCCCCACCTCTCTCTCTCTTAACTTTGCGCTCCCATAATATCCATCTCTCGCATAACGAAATCCAAACCACAATTCGGCTGTATCTTTTTCCTCATGTATTTCAAATCGTTGGCTTCTAATACAGTCGCATATTTGCCTTCTTGTACGTACCTATGTGATCCCTCAACAACATCGCATACGGTATAATATATGTATCGCTTTGAATTCTCATCCAACCATTTTGTAGATTCAGCTAAAACTATTTGATGCTATATACTGTGTACATATTGTTCATTGTTTGCCAATGCTATTGAAAAATTATATTGCATTACAGAAGTTTGCATTCTTTTGATGTGTTACTACATGCTTTAATTTTAAACACTTCATCTCTTAGTATGTTTCTGATTGTAATTGACCCAACTAACACTTCTAATCTTAGCATCGGTTGAGTTTATATCCAAAACACAACTTTATTTAATCGATCGTTATGCTTATAAAATTAAAGAGAAGTATTATTCCTTCATCAAAGATCATTTTGATTCGTATTTCAGTGTTAATGTGCGCCTTAATTAATACCAATATATTTCATTAATTATGCCACATATATATCCGTTTTCTGATTAAGTATACTTGATAAAACGGTTCCTTACATGCATATAACACGGGTTCATTAGTAGAGCAGCTAAAGGTTTGAGCAGTGTCAATAAACTGTCAACAAAAATACTATAATCCATCAAAAGCAAATTCTAAAATACTTCAATATCAATTTCTATCTACGTGCCTTCTGAAAAAATCGTAGAGTTAATTAGTCGTAAATAGTGTTCATTTGACACATATGTGCGATGTCTTCTATTTTAATGTCATTCAGTGATTTTGTAATTGCACAAGTTCATCAGATAAAAATATATATACAAGAGAGAAGGGCAATCTAAGCCACAACTTCCTATGGGTGTGCAATCAGTATATTAAAGCCTTTCACGGTTGCGAGGAAGTTATGTGTGTGTGTGTGTGTGTGTGTGTGTGTAAAAGAGGGGTAAGGAAAAACTTCTATTAGATGCGTAATCTGAGATTAGTGCATTTAAAGGTGGAAGAATTCAATTAACAAAATATATGTATTGCATATAAGGACTAGCTGCAGAAATATAAACGTTATTTGAAATTCTTTTTTTGGATACAAAACGTTATTTGAAATTATTAGATGCGGTTTAGTCAAGTAATTATAGAAAATTTGATATTCAAGCTACAGTTATGCATAATGTACATTTTGCATTATGTACCAAGGAAAAAATAATTCATATATAGACTCTTTGGTAGAATTATATTGGCTTATAGTGAATGAACGTAATGCTTTTTTTGTTCCATTGCCTGTAAGATCACCAAGCGATGCCCTTTTGTTGATGGGGTGCAATATTATAATCGTTTTCTTATCAAACTCACTAAAGGTTCGTCATTGCACCGTAGACGTTGGGCAAAAAAAAAAAAAAGTTATTGCACCCAAGGGCTGCAGAGCAATTGTGTTTCTGTGATGTCAGGGACACCCGTTATTCAATTTTCTTACATTAATTATATGGTAGCCACAGAATTAAATGTTAAAAAAAGGGTCAACTTTATGTTTACTATATTTTACGAGAGGTCGCGTAGCTGATTTTTTTTTTTTTTTTTCCCAATTCTCTTCCAAGTAAATGCAGGTTCAGATATCTCTGCGAGGATGAATGCGTTTTCACATGTTCCTCCAGGCTTTCGCTTCCACCCCACAGATGAAGAACTGGTTGATTATTACCTAAGAAAAAAGATAGCCTCCAAAAGGATTGACCTCGATGTTATTAAAGACGTGGATCTCTATAAAATTGAGCCGTGGGATCTTCAAGGTATCTCCTTAATGCCCCCAGTAGAATCAACAGATTAGCGAAAATATCAATATACCCATATTATAGCATTATTATTCATTAAAAGGTTGTTTGTTTTTTTGTCAAAAGAACTATGTAAAATAGGAGCGGAAGAACAAAATGAGTGGTATTTCTTCAGCCATAAAGATAAGAAGTACCCAACTGGAACTCGAACGAATAGAGCCACAAAAGCTGGATTCTGGAAAGCCACAGGAAGAGACAAGGCAATCTACCGCAGGCATTGCCTCATTGGGATGAGAAAGACTCTTGTTTATTACAAGGGACGAGCCCCAAACGGACAGAAGTCTGACTGGATCATGCATGAGTACCGACTTGAAACTAATGAAAATGGGACTACTCAGGTATTAGATTAATCCACTCTAAAGTACATACATACGTGCGCGCATAAATCCTGTTAAATTAAGTGACTAGAAATTAATGATTAATTATATATACTACAGGAAGAAGGTTGGGTTGTATGTCGAGTGTTCAAGAAGAAAATGACAAGCGTGCGGAGAGTGGGGGAGTATGAGTCACCATGCTGGTTTGAGGACCAGGTCTCCTTGATGCAAGAGCTTGAATCTGCAAGACCAATTTCTCAACCTTATGCATCTAATTACCACCACCATCAGTACTACGTACCTTGCAAGCAAGAACTTCAATTGCAATATAACGTAACCCATCCCCATGAAGTTTTCCTTCAGCTTCCCCAACTTGAAAGCCCCAGAGTTCCTTACTCAGCCGCTAGTCTGAGTTGCAATTCAACGTTCCCCTATGCCTATGACAGCAACAATAATGGAAGTAGCTTGCAGTCACCCAATTCACTCACTCAGGAAGAGCACACGCCTTGTGGAACCAATGATCAAGTGACTGATTGGCGAGTTCTTGATAAATTTGTGGCTTCTCAACTCAGCAGTCACCAGCAAGATGCTTCCAAGGAAGCCAGCTATTCCAACAATGCAGCAGTGCTCCGTGTGGATGGACCTATCACTATCCAGGCAAACGATCAACCTAAAAGGCCAGAAATTGCGCAGCAGGAATATGCCTCCACATCCAACTCCAGTTGCCAGATTGACCTGTGGAACTGAAAATTTAGATATTTTTAGATGATGCATACTAATTATAGAGAATATTGCAGTTTAACGTTGGATAAGAAAAGAAAACTAAAGCAATGCTCCCACTTGGTGTACATAATAATACTTCATACGTCGTGTATCCTAAGTGTTTCTACGTCTGTCTGGTATGCCCAAGGTATGCATGAATACGAGGCAGTCAGATACACCAAATACGCCAATATATTGTATGGCCAAGGGCATGGTGGAACTGGTCTCTGAATCTTAAAAGTGATTTACCTATTGCAGATTTTATGTAAGGTTATTTGAAATATTAATTGCAGATCACTTCTGGCGACCTTTGTTAACCTTTACAATGATATACAACTTCCGGCCACCAATATCCTGTCATTCTGTGCCAGCATCTGGAACTTGTACCAAAAAAGGAAAATATATTATAACTGTGGTTCGGGGGTACGAACATAAGAAATTCAAATTTATGATGTAAAATGAATAAAGTCATCTAACAAAATTGTAAAGTGGATATCCACCCCAGAAAGGAAACAGTAGTAGATTACGGCATATACTGATCTCAATTCAGATATACGAGGAGCGAGAAAAAAAAAAAAAAGTGCCCCCATAGAGAACTAAAGTTTGTAATGGTGAGTCTATATCAGGAAACGTTTGGCAAATTTATAAACACGTACGGCAGTTACTGCCAACTTGATGTCTCAATATTAGGGCGGGAGACGGAGTCGATCATGCAAAGTCATTAGAGTACAGTGGAAAAGAACATATATATGCTAAAAGCTTTGGCTTCGACGGCATTAACTTCAGAAAGTAATTAAATTGCATAAGTAGAAAAGTTTGTGCGTCCGTCTTCCAAAATGACGCTCCAAAACCAACCGAAGTGACACCGACATCCTCATCCTGTGGCATCCTGTGCTCGGTTTTTAAGTTTCTAGTTGCATGCGCGCGCAGATACACACACAGGGCAAATGGTATGTAGCCAGATATAGCCAGTGCTGTGCGGAAGAGCCATGCAATATGAATGATAACTAATATCAAATAATTAAAATGCACTATGTTACTAAAAAATAATTAAAATGCAATAGCTAACTAGCTTAGCCAAGAGTAATGCATGCCCAACATTAGGCTGATACGCGTCAGCTGTTGTGGTTTCAGTTAGTTCACGGTCGAGAGTATTTAAGCATGGCAGATGCTGTGGGAAGAAAACTTACGTTTCAGAAGTGAAACCTATGAAAGAAGATCCCCTCGAATACCAAAACGCAGGTATCACACCAACTTCAAACCATTACGTTCCTTAAGAGCGAGCATCCTCCTCGTCTCCTCGAGTCTCTGTATAAAGATATACATGAGATGACTTCTGCCCTGATCGCTAGGAGATGTGTCTTCCCGGTAAGGTTTAGCAGGAAATATATAGCCAAATCACACACGTATACAGTGAGATATTTCGGTAAGAAACTTGGCTCTTTGAATCCTGATTTATAGGCTGTGGCAGCGCCTCACAGACCCATGACCACGCCACGAGTTCTACCATCGTGTGAAGCGCATTTTTACGCGATATGTGGAGGGTTTAAATTCTTCTGGTACGAGCCCAAATGTGAGGTGCATAATGATGAGCACTGCTGAATGACTAGGAGCAAAAAGAAGTAGATTTTGATGACAATGTGTGAATGAAATCTGGCCACAGAAATTCTTGTTTGGAAGTCAAGAATTGAATTGAATCACTTTAAAGCAATATGCCGCGACATAATGATTAGGCGTGCTCCCCATCAACTTATCCTCAGTGTTTCAGACTTAGGCACATACAAACATACAGGCATGCTTTCCGGAAGTATTCCCCTCAATTCACACACTGAAGAAGAAAAATGTCTTACGCCGAATAAGCATGGCCCCTCTCTGGTTACTTTAGGGTTCTTACCATTTTCCTTGATTAAAAGAGAGAGCCCGCCCATTGATTGGGGGTTGCACCAAAACAAGCAGATCACGAGCGTTAATCTTGTGGGTTAATTAGTCCTCCTCAAATCTTTTTTCTCCTATTCTTTTGAGTATGTGTGGTATAAAAAGTAATGACGGGCCATAAAATGTGTTTAACGACATTTTATTTCGGAAGAGAGAAGAGATCGAGATTGAATGTCATAAGAAAAACTTGTGATCCATAAACCATAGATAACACATTTCACGGCATAAGATTTAAAATTTTCAGGATAATTGCCTTCCATATATGATCAGTTGATCGAATATTCGTCGCATACCGTTCTTTTTTAAAAATTATTTTCAAGTCAAGTCACAATTTTAGTTTAGTTTACCAATTATAAATAGTTATGCTGGATTTATACTAGGATCACTTAAACTGATGCATAAATAGAGCCAAAAAGTAGTTTGTTATGGTGATGTGTAAAGGAATGAGTGAATGAATAATATAATAATAAAGAGAAAACTTTGCGGCGAGGAAAGGAAAGAGGAGGGGTGGTCCAAATACAGCAAACGCATGCCATAGCCGGAAAGTAGCGGCTGTCAAGCCAAGAGGGCACCTTGTCTGATTCGCATGTTGGCCTAACTTCCACTCAGCAGACAACCATTTGCCCCCTTTATAATTCATGTCTCTCTCTTTCTTTTGGACCATCCACTTTCCAAACGGATCTTCTCCCATCGACCCGGCCCATTATCTGTGATATTACCCATTTCTACCCTTCCTTCCTTCCTTCCTTCTATATATTTCCCTGTTTACACATATGGCCATGACACATGTATGGGGATCAGACCATTTCCCAGATTTTTCAGCGCGTTCAGCATCAATCAGGTTCAAGATCATCCACATTTTTCTTTTCATTCTTGTGAAATATGAAGCTTCACCAATTCCCGCGTATGACAATAACTTTGATTTGGTCCTTTATCTTATCCGCTTTTGTCTATCACTTAATTTTTTTATCCCTAAATAACCCTATTTATTTAATGCTCATTTTTTAAATTTAAATAAATGAAAGGTAATAGTCTAATAAAAGAAAAGAGCATTTCAAGAAAATTATCATGAATTGTCCACAGATTAATTGAAAAACAAGCAAACTTGACTTATTTTTTCACATTTATAAATTAGGTAAAGAGATCCTATATGTAAGACTAAAGGAACTAATTAATAAAATAAAACGGCGAGCATAATTGTGGTGGCATCTGGAGGCACTCGATGGAGCAACATGAAAAAGCAGAAAGTAATTAATTGAGGGGATGAATCATTTGGGACATGATGAATCGGTTATTAATGTCTAATTGATACTCCCTTTGTCTCTTATTATAAAATCTAATTTTTTGAATTGGTTTGTCTCTTTTTATAAAATCTTTTTTGAGTTTGTCTGAACATTTAATACATTATTATCTATTTTACTTCTAGTTTAATGCATTTAATACATTCTCTTTTTTTATTTATCTCATTATTTCTCTCTCACATCTACCCATTTATACATAGGGATGTATTTTGGAAAAAAAGATTATATTTGTTACATATTAATTACTTTTAACTAATTTTAACTGTTTTCTTAAACCGTGCAATTTAGTTAAAATGATCTTATAATAAGGGATGGAATAGTATATACTTATGGGATGAGAATAACAGTTTTCAGTGTCCTCCTGGATTTAATCGTTATTGGTATATTAACAGCAGAGAATATTCTATCCCATAGCATACATAACAATATTATATTGTAAGCATGTAACCAATCATCACTTATCAATATCTATTAATGAACCCACAACATATTGAGTTGTCTGTGATGAGCATAAACCCAAAAGGAGAGCCCAATCCTAAAAGACTAGTCTATTGGGAGGGAGAGTCCCTTAAACTTATAAACCCCACAATACTTGTGAGATTACCCAACGTGGGACTCATAACATTGTCCATAGTCTAAATTATGTGGATCATCTTTTTAGACTACACGAGATAACGTAAAAATGCCTATTTTTGTTGAGCATATTCTAACAAAATATTTACTCATAAATAATGCAACTCCATCTTATAGGAAATTAGGTTGAGAACATAATAACTTCGTATACAACTATTATAACCACCCTAATTACGCATGGCAGAATTAAAGTCTCCAACAACTTTAGAAATAAAAGGACACAATGGTTGTGGGGAAGGGCAGGGGCAGTATGGGCCTGAGATTGTTGAGAGACCAGAAAGAGAGAGAACGTACAAAGTAGGGCCTGTGGGAAGGACACAAACAAGCGCATTAATATCCGGAGTCCATTAGCCTCCTCCCGCCTTCTTTGCTGATACGACACATATTTCTGCCATCTTCTGCATTTGGCCGCTACCCATTTATTTTTATTCCCCTTCCTACTTCCTCCAATATTATCTGCACCCCAATCAAACATACTATCCATAGTTTGTAATAAAGTATATATGACTCATTATAAATTATTTATTTTACTCTGATGTTATTTATATGATCAGTAACGGGCTGGGCTCTGAATTCGTCACAGAGAAGTTACATAGAAACGAACGTCCCTAGAATGGAATGAATCTCAATAATATATCTATTCAAAAGGTGGAAGTGGATGATCTGAAATGGGGTGAGGAAGGAAGGTACAAATTGATATATAGATTGATAGGGCGTGGCCTCGAGAGAGTCCATGAAATGCGCTGATTATCTTGCAAAGGAGGCTCATCATTTGACAGAAGGATTCAGGATTTTGCAGCATCCACCGGTGGGCTGCGTTTCACTCCTGACTTCGGATTCTATGCAGATATAGGCTTAAGTAATGCTCATTTTGTTGTGATTTGATAATCTCAAGACTTTTGTCCTGCCCGGCAAAAAAAAAAAAAAAAGATTGATAGGGCGTGGCGTTTTGAAGCGTGTATTGCATATGGCTATTAGCTAGTGAGATAAAAAAGTCAAGTGTACTCAAGGCCCTTGTTTCGGAGTGCTACATTCTGTACCTACCTACTTCACTCAGCCTCCCCCTCTTCAATCACTGTATCTCGATCAATAACTAATTAATTATCAAAAAAAATTTGAAAAAATCAGATCCGTCACATTGATTTTCCACTTTATCGGTCTTTGAGATTTGATAGATCCTCATATCCCCACAACACAGCAGCAAATAGCTCCTTGCAGGCTTTTTACAGACACTCCCTTTTCCCTGTTCGTACATCCATTTCATTACCATTATTATTATAATAATATATTTCTCTTTCTCATTTTATGCCCCCATCCCCTCCCTATATTTCATTCTTTCTCCTGTGTGCATATATATTTAATGCTCCCTCCTTCTGTTTCCTCTTCACCCTCAAACCTGCATATATATTAAT